CAATAAAAAAAACCGTGGTGAAGTATGGTCAAAACAATCCCCATGACCGACACAACAGACAACAACAGTCATTTGAGATGCGCCCAAAAATATAACAGTAATAACACACATCTTAACCACGTCACCCCAGAATGTGCCTGATTTCATCAGATCCTGAACGCTAAGGTGGCTTATTACCTGTATAAACCATCCACGAATCTGCGCTGACAGGAATATTAAATATCGTCAAACAAACCCCTCGACCCGCACAACATGGAGAGGCCCTCATTCATCCAACAGTGGTTGCACAAAGCGATCAAAAGTGAAGTAATGGATCATTTTACATGTGATACCGCATGATAATTGATAGTTGCTGGCGAAGAGTGGATGGTTTTTGTAAGTTTTCATGTATTTTTGTGTGTGTTAATTGCGTTCGAAGGAACCTCGTTATGTCATATTGCATAATATTGGCTATAAATGCGTGTAGTACTCAAGTCCATACCGCAGGAAGCCAGGTCTGTCAGCAGGGCAGGAACATCTTTCATGAGGGCACTGCTGGTATGGGGCATTCATATCTTCTTATTGATCACACACAAGCACAAAGACTAAAATTCCACTCACAGCCGATTACAATTAAAGGTGGCAAACGCTGTTAGCAAGCACTTATTAAGGCTCTGCATGGCACACGAGGGGTTAGTGTGGCCAGCTAAGGTGCCCGACCACATTTGTCTCCCCAGTGCTGAAGATCACACACTCTGCCGGGTTGTATTTTTAATATTGTATTGCAGCATACACATTTTAGGCTGAGTCCACTTACAGAGGAGGTCCAGGTCAGGCGCATATGAACATGCCACTCGTGTTTGTCCGTGGTTGAGAATCGATCGAATACACAGCTTGCAGGGATTTTAGCGCAGTGCACCAACCACTTTGAAATGAGTATGCTTGTGGCTTTGGAATTTGCAGCTTACTATTGCAACACTCTAATTCTCGGTGTCATGACGCCCCCAGGTAATCTTGCATTGTCTTCCGTGTGTCTCCACTCTGTGTTAGAGGTGGACATTGGAACGAACCAACCAGACACTCATACACTATCCCTCCCACCGAGCATAAGTTTAACCCTTGACTGCACTTCTGACACTTTGCCAAGAGCACCCTCCTCATTTGTTGTTTGTATTTTATGTTTTGGTGTTCACGTCGCTCAACGTGGCTTGATGTTGAAACCTACAAATGACAAAACAGCACTACTAGTCCGAGAATCGAAATGTCATTTTTTTGTAATCTCGTAAAAGCCACTTCAAGAACACAAAATGTTGCAAAAGGATCTACACAGCCCTTTTAAACATCTAATACAGGATGAGGACCTCCTTGTGCTGTGCGGGTCAACGGGGTTGCGTGACCATACTTCACAATACTGATCAGTGCGGGTCGGTGTAGACCTATACAGACTTAAACCTGCTTAGCTTCCAATATCTCACGAGTTCGGGTACATTCTGGGTGATTTAATCAATGACTTGCATGCTAGAACGATTATTAACCTTCATTTAAACCGTGTGAGAGTGAATTTATACTCAGTCTCTTTGTCAAGGGAGACCTGGGCGGAAGGCCAATTTTTGTTATGTTTGTGGTGTGTACAGGGCTGCATAGAAACTTGCTGCCAAATGCAAAAAGCAGCGTTCTGAGGCGTAGAGACAGAGAGAGACTGGCAGAGACCGGGGAAAACTGCCTGGGGCCAGTGGGAGGAGCATGGGGGTGGGGGGGAGACGGGCGGGCTTGTCACCTTGAATATATTCAGCAGCATCATTGTCACTATCAGCATTGTGACTAACACCATCATTGCCATTGTCGCCGTTTTTTGTCTTTTGTTTAACACAATTACCGTCATTGTCATCCTTGTCATCGTAATCATCACTCTGGTCATTGTCGCCATCATGGTGTTTGTATGCCATCTTGGTCGTCATCATTATCGTCATCAGCAGCAGTATTATGTTATCTTAAGCATTATTATTAATACTATGAATCTTAACTATTATTGTGACCATTGTTACCATCACCATTATCACTATCTCCATCATTATCACACGTCATACAGTATTTATAATTGACATAATAATTGTGATTATCGTCATAATAAAATGTCATAATCTTCATCATTGTCATCGCTATAATTGCCATTCACCCTCATAATTGTTGTCAACATCATAACCATCAGCACAGTCACCATCATTTTATAAATTGTTACCGTCATCGTCAAGTATACCCCATCATAATCGTCATCACCATCTCCTTCAGGACCATCATCGTTATCATTACTGTATCATCACGATCGTCAGTTCACTATCATCATCAATCCCATACTGGCAGATGTATGTGGGCTGAATATGTTTTTTCTCATGACACAGTCAATCTTAAATCAACGTTTCATACATTTTTACCTCCTAGAGAGAATGAATAACGATATGATCTGCTGTTGTCCATCATGCATTCTGCTACAGCTCTCACCCACGATTTATCTGAGGAAATGCTGCAATCCCTATCTCTTAATTGCCAATGGTATTAAATATTTTGCCAGCAATGTTTGGCTCAACTAAAACAATTTAAATGGGGGCTGAGCCAGTAGGAAGGGGCAGGAGGGGTCGGCAACCTTTCAAATAATAAGACGTTTTTTTTGTCTTTGACCAAAATAGTTCGAGAGCCGCATCACACGCAGAGAGAGCCACTTGTACACAAACACAGCAGCAGGTATACAGCAGATGACGAACAAATTTTGACTTAAACACAATAGGTGATGGAATAAACTTTTTCTTTTTTTCGATTTAAAGCTTTCGTGACTGCAGGGATTCATCTTCTTGGTTCTTTCGATAAAGTCACGTAGAAGGGAAATAATAGCACTGTTCTTCACCTGAGGAATAAACTTTGTCTGTTTAGTTGTTGTCCCCCTTCGTTATTCTTTAACAATATAGTTGGACTGTGCATCTTGTTGTCACCAATACATTCCAGTGACCCATTGTCATATTTAATAAATTGCTTATGACCTTTACGTTAAGTTACGTTTCAGATTTGAGGGTTTTTTTTTTCTTCAAGCCAAAGAGCCACCGCATGCGGCCCCGCAGGTTTACCTTCCCCTGGGCTAGGGGTGATGTTACAATGCACAGGGCACGGTCTGATATCTCACGCCGCGATGTTCCAGTGTAAAGAGGCGTGATTAAAACAAAATCGCAGTATTTTCCTGCTCAAGTGAGCATTAAGGCAGCGTTCAACCCATGGCCACGTACAGCACTGGTGACATGATCCTCTCTCCACTGGGTCTTCATTAAATAATGTACAAATGCAAGATTACAAGATTACAATCATTCGGAATTACTTGATTGCCTTGAAACGCCACCTGAATGGGAACGTGACCAAATGTGTTATTTTTACGAGCGCCAATTCTGCTCCAGCTCAGAACCATTGCACTTTGTCCAGAACTACTCTATGCAGAATCACAATTGAAAATGTTTCCTCATACACGTATATTGGCATCTGGCTGGATTCTCATCTCAACTTCAAACCTCGGGGAATTAATTATACTATTGGACATTGATTCACGTCTGTGCAACATTTTCGATTGCTCATGTGACAGTTGTCACTGCTTTGATTTCTATTTGATTCCATTGCTGAACTTTATTGTATTTTTTTGTTTTTTTGCATTCTGGTGACACAGGTCACTTTTGCAAATGAGATTGTCTGGTCTGTCTAGTTATCGTCCTGTTAAACAGATGCACTTGCAATTTGAGAGGTGTGAATTCCACGTCCCTATGTCGGTGACAGGCTTCTCCAAAGGAAAACCATCGATTATTTTATGAAAACTCATCTTATCGATTCCGGAGGGAGTGATCGGCTGTGTCAACCATGCCAGACGGTGTGGCATGGTGACCAAGGTTAAAGTGCTTGTCTGCTGTTGATGTGGTTTCTATCCACAAGGGGGCAGCATCGCTCTGTTAGGCCGCGGTGAAACGCTTTAAATTCCCAGCACCTTGACACATCCAAATAGTCTTAGTTAATAACTGAAATAGAGACATCCATGAGCTTCTCAAAATTCAAAGTGCTGTACATGTGCCAATGTCTGGAGCAAATGCACACTTCATATTTTGGGTGAAATTAATTCAGCCCAGGACTCTCCTGCCTCAATTGCCTTTTATTAGAATAATTATCGTCTGCTTGTCTTGCTCTGGGCAAGCCACAGCCGCTTCACAAGCATCAGTGTGGAGCTGGTAAGGCCCTGAGACCAACGTGAGGTCCAGCCAGGGGGCACTGTTCGACATCGTGTGCGATTGACAAGACTCATCACTATTAATCCCGCGATGACAGTCCAAACACCGTTCAGCAAAGATAACACACTCCTCTGACATGAAGAAGGGCCATCACCCGAAACGTCGCCAATTGTTTCCTCTTAACGCCACACCGGTATCGACGAAGGTGTCGAGTCAGTGTGTGTTAGGGGCCGTCCATAAATGACGTCACGAACCTGGGGGGGGGGGGTCAGATATTTGTGACGATGTGTGACGAGGGGGGGGGGGGTGAGAAATGTGACGTCACATCAAAATGCGCAACTTTAAATAAATATAGAATTGTTAGAACACTAATTGTTATAACACTCTTACAACATCAGAGTGCAACGCCACATTAAATACGCACTACAATGACAATAGTTTAGAGCGATTTGAAGCATGTTCTATTTTCAAAATGGAAATATTGTTTTTGGGGGGGGGGGCAGAGCTTTGTGACGTCATATTTGAAGGGGGGGTCTGACTTTTTGTGACGCCGTGTGACGAGGGGGGGGGGGATCAAAAATCGTCCAAAATCGCGTGACGTCATTTATGGACGGCCCCTTAGATTTACGTGACTTGACCGAAAGACTCAAGGAGTTAGGCAACCGTCGTCGACTCTGCGACGCAACCACGCGGTTTGCCAACAGGGCCGCCCGTCGTTGTCGTGACAACGCAACGCGCTTCCGGTTTACACGGGAAGTGACGTCACGTCGCCCCACCCCCTTCCACCCATTGCCCCGCCTTAGTCCGCCGGCTGCTCTGTGACCAACACGCCGCTACCTTCGCCCGGGTTCGAACTCGGCGCTTCGTGGTGCCGCTCGTTGGATTCCGGCAGCTGCGGGAGAAAGCCGTCGCCGCGGGTGACGAAGGCAAAGATGTCGATGCTCGCCGAGCGTAAGTTGTGGGGTGGGTGGTGGGCGTTTGTCGTGGTGGCAAGCGAGGAGTGCAACGTGCACGTGCTCGCGGCCCTCGCCCCCCCCCCAAAAAAAGGCCTCGGCTGGGACCTCGTTGCTGGAGGCCACAGACGGTGGGGTCAGATCGGTGGTTGTTGACGCGTTGGTGGAGGTGGGGAGGGGGGGCGAGAGACTTGAGACAACTTTCCTGTTGCTTGAAGTGCCGCACCGCAAGATCGGACCGGCGACCTCCGGGTTACAAGTGCAGTGTGACAACCGTGAAAACTAAACTTGTATTTATGTTACCAGGTAAGGCACACTGAGTTATACAGCTCTTTGTCAGAAGCGACGTGGCCACAAATAATAGTTCAACTTAGTGGCTAAGGGACCGTCCATAAATTGCGTCACGCACCTAGGGGGGGGGGGGGGGTCAGACATGTGTGACGAGGGGGGGGTTGAGAAATGTGACGTCACAACAAAATGTGCAACTTTAAATAAATATAGACAACACGTTCTCCTTAATTAAATAGACTTTTAATAAACGTTTTCTCCTACAACATCAGAGTGCAGCGCCACATTAAATACGCACTACAATGACAATAGTTTAAAGCGATTTGAAGCATGTTTTATTTGCGGGGGGGTGGGGGCAGAGCTTTTTGACGTCATATTTGAGGGGGGACAGACTTTTTGTGACGTCGTGTGACGAGGGGGGGGGTCAAAAATCGTCCAAAATCGCGTGACGTCATTTATGGACGGCCCCTTATGTGGAAATGTATAGCAGCCAAATACTCTAAACGCATGCTTATTAAATGTGGAGGGAAAAACTGGAGGACCCGGAGAAAAATCCACGCGACCACGAGGAGCGACACCGCAAACTCCAACTATGCAGCAGACGTCAGGGTCGGGATCGAACCCATGACTTGTATACCAGGCGAAGTAGCTAATATCTCGCCACCGCGGCACCGTTACAGCAAGGGGGCATCGGTCATATGGTGGAAGTACTTTCCAGGCAATGGGAAGGTGGAATGTTTTACCTCTGGCTCCGGGATGCAGAGAAAGAGATGAAGCTGATGCCTCCTAGTCTCGCTTCTGAGCGGTGCCCTTTAACGCTGAAGCCGAAGAATGATAAGGGTTCATCTTCTTGGTTCTTTCGGTAAAGTCACGTAGAAGGGAAATAATATTATTATGTTTTATTTGTATTATTTTATTATTTCCCTTCTACGTGACTTTACCGAAAGAACCAAGAAGATGAATCCCAGCAGTCACGAAAGCTTTAAATAGAAAAATGATAAGGGTGCCAAGTGTGTCGGTTGTTAACGATGAACCCCAAGAGTTCTTAGTGTTTGTGACCACGAGTCGTGCGTCAACATTCAACAACAACCGTAGTCCTAAAGAGTCCTAAGGGTGTCTTAGTCTGGCCCAATGTATCTCCAACATTAACACTGTACTATTAACATTCCTAAGGGCGCCTTTGGCTGTGAACTGTTGGCATTAACATTGAACCCAATAACATAACGGTGCCTTAATCTGTCACTTAGCCTCGGGAATTAAAACTGATCTCAAAAGATGACCTAGAAATAATCTCTTAATCTCCAGCAATGAACCCCAAGGATCCTAAAGGTGTCCAGCTATACTACGTGACTTTACCGAAAAAACCTAAGAGTATGAATCCTTGCAGTCATGAAAGCTTCAAATCTAGAAAAAAAAGTGTCCAGCTATATTTGCGATTTTGAGCATGCACATTGAACACGGATTCTAAATGTACCCTTGTCTTGGCCTCTGGTATTTAACATTTTATCCTGAGAATAGTATCGCAAGCACACCGAGTTTGTGCTCTCGGAGTTATGTAACGTGATGAAGTTTCCATTTGGAACCCGCAGCAGTGCACTACCCCGTGTCGGATAACTTCTCAAAAATATGTCAAAGCCTTAACTCTGAAATCCCTTCAAGTGACCACTGGTCCACTCTGTAAAGGGCATCAGGTATCCACCTACCCAGCTTGGCGTTTGTAATTGTTGTTGTCGTCCTTGTCATTGTACCTGTGCAGCACGCAGGAAGCAGAAGTGGTCGGTGGACCCCAGGAACACCACGTGGGTCAATGACAACAGCAAATTCGGGCAGAAGATGCTGGAGAAGATGGGATGGAGTTCAGGCAAGGCAAGTGGGGTTTTGTGGGCTGGAAGGGGCATGGAGGCTCAGGGGTACCTTGGTGGTGAGATGAATACTACCTCTCCTGGTATACAGGGGGTCGTCGGGCCGATCTCGACGCCGACACCTGTATACAGGTAGTCCCCGACTTACGATGGTCCGACTTACGATATTTCGATTTTACGATGGCGATAGCGATATGACAAAATTGTAAAATATTTTACATTTCGCGCGGCAGGAAAATGCAGCAGCGTACGAGGTACGATACTGTACGTTGGGACGCTGCCGGGATGTACTGTACGCATATAGTTTATACAGTACGGTACTGTAAATTGCTCTGTTTTGCTAAATTATCACCATTCTTTAAGACTCCTGGGTAGGCTAGGCCATTTTCGACTTACGATGGGGTCGTCGTAAAGCATCTCCATCGTAAGTCATGATCTCCCAGTGGTCATGTGGATTCTTCTCCGGGCCCTCCGATTTTTCTCTCCACATTTAGAAACATGCGTTTAGAGTATTTGGTTGCTATAAATTTCCACATGATGAGCTATAATTTGTAGTCGGGTCACTTCTGAAAAATAGCTGTATAGCACAATAGGCCATATCTGGTAAATAAAAAAATCGTTAGGGGCAAAGTTTCCCAACCATCGGCTATTGTTACATGTAGAGTCTGGACTCACCGGTTATTCATGTTATCAGTTAATCCACCTTTTATCGGTTCGATTACTGGACTAATCGGAGGACACGGCAGAAAATAAAAAGTCTCGCCTCTGTTCCTGTGTGTGCCGCTAATGGGGAGGTTAGGCTTGATGAAGCCTTTGTTATCATCATTCTTAAAGGGGCCCGACTTATTGACCACGAAAAAAGTAGTGGATTAAAAAAATATAGCCAAATAATAAACTCTGTTTCAGTAATTGTCCCAGCTACAGTTACTTACGAACTTCCTCCAGTGCGTTGTGGTTGTGCGCTTTTGCCTATATGTCAGCAGATGGCGCTGATGTCACTTGGCAGTGGAAGACCAGTTGCTCAGTGTTGTGTCTCTGTCTCTTATTGATGTTCATGAAGGGCCTTGGGGCAAATGAGCAAGGTTCCACCAACCACATCAAAGTGAACGTCAAGAACAACAACCTAGGGGTGGGAGCCGCCGTTAACCAAGAGGTGGGTGGGAACACAAGAGGTAACCACACAACTCGGTAGTACTAGTGCCATGTCATCACCAGCCATGATCCATCCACTGCTAGATGAAGGCCTCCCCAAGGTGTTGCCATCTCAAACGTTCTCGTGATACAGCAATCCATCTAGCCGCTTGTAAGACGTCTACTCGGGCATGTTCCCTCCTTTATTTGTCACTCCGTCGTTCGTCTTGACCCCCGCCATCATCCCTTGCAATGACATCTCTTGGCCAACCCCAATTTTCTTAACAGTCACTGCGATGCCTCTAACTTGCATATATTATAATGCACTAGTTCCTCTTCCTGTCTCGGTGTAATTCCTATTTTTGTTTGCTCATTAGCATGGTCATCAATTGCATAATCGTTGTGATCATCACTGTCATCACCGTCATTTTTAACATCATGATTATATTGTCATTACTAATCGGCGTCGTCATCAACATTGCTTTGAAAGTCATTGGTACAGTCACTGTCATCATAATTTTCATTATCAGGGTCACCAACATGAACATTGCCATCACAGTCGTATTGTCCTCTCCAGCCTTGATCATGATCATCATCATCCATGATCAGTCCAATGCTGAATGAAGGCCTCCCCAAGCCATCTAGTGCCTACACACAAGCTGATTTCATCACTCTATCTCTGTAGTGGACGTACTTGGGCTACCACATCCAACTGTCTATGCGGTTAAAAGGGAGGTGGTGTTTGTGTCCATGCTTTTGCAGGACAAGTGGATCGCGCACCAGGACGACTTCAATCAGCTTCTGGCCGATCTCAATGACCAGCACGGGCAGCAAGGTAAAGTTGCATCACCAAGTCGCCCGCTCCACCCCTAACACTCACTTCCTGGGGGAAGTGTTGTCATCATGAGAAATGAAAAGCCTCCAAAAACTGAAAACGGCATACATTGAAATCGGAATGATGGGCGAGCAGTTTGTGGGTGAAGCACATTTGCTAAATAGTTAGTAAACCTAACTAACCATTGAGCCAAACATTCACTCCCGCGAAAGAAGTTCAACATTCATACAATTAGCCCTAGTCCTGACAAACTAGCCACCCAAACACTTGTACTAGCTTTACTCCCTAGCCTTAATCAATTAACCACCCGGCGATTACTACTCGCCCTCCTAACCCTAACTAACTCGCCAAACAGCCACTACTATTAGCCACCCCAATGTTCCTATCCTTACCCCTAAGCAGCCACAAATATCCTATTTTTACCCATAACTAGCCACAAATACGATCTCTGTAGTATTTCATCAAGCTCCCTTTTCACTTTCGTGTTCGCTTTTCAGCTTTGGTGTCCAATGCGTCTTGTGATATCGTGCTGCCTCCTGAGCATTGACCTGGCAGATTTGTCGGTGATGGAGATGTTGGAACTCTTTCGCAAAAGGAGCACTTGTCAAACATCCTAATTTGAACCATCATGACTTAAAGCTTTCGTGACTGCAGGAATTCATATTCTTGGGTCTTTCGGTAAAGTCACATGAAATAGGTTTAAAGAAAATGACAAAAAATAACAAAAAAGACTACCGCTTGTGTTGCGATTGAAACGTCGAAGTTTTTTGCTATTTTTGGTTATTTTCCTTGAACCTAACTACGTGACTTTAACGAAAGACCCAAGAATATTTGACCCATCATACTATACATCATACTATATGATTTTAAAATAAGTTTTGCTGCCTGGCTGGCGTGCGGGCAAGATGGTGATGTCACCGTGCACATCTGCGTGATAACGTCACCCATATCTCGCAGCGTTAAGCCGTTCGTGTTGTCCCGCTGACGTCCGCCGCTCCCCCACCCACCATCCACCCCTGATGTATATCCCGAGCAAATGCGTGGACAGTGCTAGTTATCCTTTAAAACAAATGGAAAGGCAGCTGGGCAGTTCAGGTGCTAATACTGTGTCAGAGGCACTGAGCAAGCAGCTTTGAAATCCTGGTTTCGAATCCGTGTATCAGCCACCCGTGATTCAACCACGTTCTCAAGTGTAGTTCGTTAATGTTGGCTGTGGCTGGGAATCAAACTCTTGATCGTTGGATCTGTAGCGCAGGACACTAACCACTGCCCCGCCGCTCAGCCTGTCAGGTCCCAAAGTGGAGAGATTTCCTTTCGGAACGATTGCAGCGAGCTGTGCATCACCTCCTGTCAGGGAGCAGCTTCAGACTATGACATTGGATATCTACTTCTGAGGTTACGTCACCAGCCTCTTGTCCACACAAGGTGGTGCACTCTGTTACCGCATATGCCCTGCAAAAGAAGCGCTCGCCCCCACGTCAATCACGCAGAGCTTTTCTGCGAGACGCGGATCGTACGCGCTGCGAGCAAGCCCACTTATTGAGTAAGCGGACTTAGTTTTGTCACGAAAACAATTACGCAACCTTTATTATTATTTTTCTTAGCACGTTATATTTTTGTTTTGCTCAAATTAACCAGCTTGTGAAGCCACGTTTGGGCACAGCCATTAACGGGCATTTTTTTCCTCCACCGTCCATTGTATGCGGTGCCCCCACAAACCGCGCGGCACGGCCACCGATTGTTGCGGGACCGAGCTAGCCTTCGCCCGGCTGCACAATGGCCCATTGTGTCGCAGCCATTAAATTGAGCCACGTCTCGGGGACGTGTTTCATTTCAGAGGCCACGGAACAAGTGCAGAAAGCCGCCTTCAGCCTGGAGGAGAAGTCAAAGCGATCCCGAAAGCGCGTGCATTACGTGAAGTTTGCGAAAGGTGGGTTTGTCTCTCGCTCGCTGTCTCACTCGCTCGCTGTCGGCACACCTGTGGCGGAGATGTATTCAATAGAGGATTTGCTTTTTTTTTGCGTGTTGCCCGTTGACTTCCTGTTGTGCTGACTGTGTCCATGAAGGAGACTTTGCAGTGGGCTTAGCTTCGATTTCCACTTCAGCGAGGCAGGCGTGGTCCCTGGGGGGGTGGGCAGGGGGCGTCGAGGATTTTTGCCTGAACCGCCGAATGCACGCGCGTACAACACGCACGCACAACACGTACGCATATGTACAAGTATACATTCTGACACATACGTTCATGCGCGGACGAGTACATTCACGTCTACGTTCATACGCGTTTACATTCATTCGCAAATATATTATTACACGTATGTATTCATACATTTTAAAGGTACGTAAGCCTACTCCTGCTTTGTCCCATACGAAGCCAAACATTCACTTGTTAAATTTGTCAACATCCCAGTCTTGAATCTCAGAGCCTTTCATCAATGAACACAGGATATTACCACGATTTAAAAGTGTAAGGGTAAGAAATTAATAAAGGCGTTTAATGCATGTGACCACCGAGTTATGGGAAGATGAAATTGCGACAATTTCCAACTTATAAATAGCGCAACAATTTCCAACTTATTAATATTTTATCGCTACCAAATATGAACTACTTTAGGGTATAAAAGGGGCGAAGGGGTTGTCAGGGCAGGGGAACACGGCAGAGAAGAGAGCGACACTGCGGCACATCCAGGGTTGAAGCAACCGGGCCAAGCACCACCACCAACAACCTTTACGACAACAACCACAACAATTATTACAACAACAACCACAAGGAGTCCGGGAATGCACCGTGTGCAGCTGAAAACACGACCGCAGTGAAATACGTCTGCTGTTAGTGTGCTAATGACAGCTGCATAATAGCACGATTCTAGTTTTTGTTCAATTAACATTTGTTACGAATGAAGCTAATTATGTCAATGTTTGGAAGTCACGCTCCTTAAATAAGAATTTTCCAAACATTGCAATGTAAGTCCCTCCTGAAAGATAATCTTGGGACTCTGAAAATAAGGCTTTCATGGATAGATAAATAAATGATTGTTCGTTATTTTGTATAGTTGTGTAAATATATAATATATATTTCAAACCTATAACATGCCGCAGAGTTTTTATCGAGGGAAAATGACTCATAGGCGTGTCAAACCACAGACAAGCAGGAAGGCAGCCACGCGATGAGCCGGCGCAAACAATCGCCCAAACTCTGCGGTCCTCTATATATTAAGATGTGATCAGCCAATGAATGTTTACATGTGGGAGGAGACCGGAGCAATTTGTATTTATCATAATTTGCAATGTCTTGTATATATCCTTATCATGCTTGGGTGGGAGTGTGACACATTGATAACACTTGTGCCTCTCACAGCCGGCAACTCGGTTGCCTTTCTATGTGGAGGTTGTGTGTCCTCCCTCTGTTCTGCATGGGTTTCCTCGGGTTTCTCCGGTTTCCTCCCATTGCTTAACAAATATAAAACCGTCCAATGTAATTGGTATTGACAAAAACATCCAATGCTAATTTCACTGCACATTACTCAATTGAGATTGCACATAGTAACATCCCCCACTACTGCTGGCAGGGCTCTCCTGAAACAGTTTTGAGACTCGACGAGGCTTTTCCTTGGTTAACGAGCATGATAATGTATGATGTTGACAATATATGAAGAGACAATCTTCTGCCCCGCGACAATTTGTAAACACGTAACGCCTTGACATTTTTAAGTCCGCGAATATGCAATGGATTTGTATTCTGTGCCGTAATCTTTCCAACTACGATGTGGGTGGAGGGGCAGGGAGGGGGGAATTCGCCACCATGGACAGAATTAAATTTGGCTGAATAAGCTCTTATCAGCCCTGCGCCCACCACTGCCGCCACTACTGCCAAACGCCCTGGCTTGTCTCTCCCATCACCCTCCCCCTCCAGAATCGCTGAAGTCATCCTATGTAAAGGATCGTTTCCTTGACCTGTCATGGCTTTTGTAAATCCACATTGGAGTTTCCCACTCCAAAGCGCTATAAAAAGGGCCGGGCGTCAGCCTCTTGGCAGCGGTGGCGGCGGCTCGCTTCACAAATGGCGGGGGGGGGGGGCGTGGAGGTTTGGGACAAGAGAAACGATCGTTCGCCTGCCTTGGCTGGTGATGATGGAATATGTATATTTGTGGTGTGTGAGGTGGTTACCGGTAGTGCAACGGTTAGCTCGCCACGCCACGAACCCGCGGACCGGAGTTCCATTGTCGTTCAAGGCTAATACTTTGTGCAGTGTCTAAACATTTCCACTAGGGATACAAAGGCGGCCGGGTATGGTGCTAGCCACCCACCCCCCTCATGTGCCGTGCCGGCCTTCATCGGTGATTGCGAATGGCACTTGCCCCAGCAGCTTGTGAAGGCTATATGGGGGATCTTTGTCTTTTGTGAGGTGCTCACTAAAGTCTGTCCAGGATACCAGGGTAGCTTTGTGTTGTGTATGTGGCATGTATGGGCAAAGTGCTGGTGTAGAGATTAGCGCACTGCTACAAACACGAGTTTGATTCCCAGCCATGTCTGACGTCAATAGTAATAATGTGAACCCATACTGGGCCTCTCGTCAGCCAAGACAGCCTTAAATGAATACCTGGTACGATGTGTAACATCAGCACTGGCCAGGCATGGTGCTGTTGCCACAGGAACCTCCCTTTCGCCGTGTCAACCTTAATAGGCGCTCGCTGACCGCACTTGCATCAACTGTCTGTTAAAGGCTTTATGTTAAAGGCTTTATGTGGTGAGGGAGGCAGGAGCCAGGAAAGAGCCGCAGTGGTTTTGGATTGGGGCATAGGTCTGATTGTAGTATCGCTACGATCAGGGTGGCCTGGGCTGGGCAGGCATGTGGTCGTGTAGTACATTTACAAACTCGCCTATAAAAGCATGCGCAGTGACTTGAGAAAGTGAACCGCGTGGCGCTCCCTCCCTCCGGTACTCGCCCCACCGCTCCTCTCTCCCCCACCACCTCCGCTCCAACCGCTCCCAGTCGCTGAGCGCTGACAATGGGAGTGGCGTCCGAAAGTTACTAATTCTGGGAAGCGGGAGAGACGGCGGTGGGTGTGTTGTGCTTGGCGGCAGCTTGCCTCGGGTAGCTCTCGTCCCCCCCCCTCCCTCCCACGGGGCCACTGGCGCGACACTCAAATCCCAGCGGGGGGGGACGCTATACAGAAACAATTAATTAACAAATTACGAGCGTGTGCCATGGCTGTCACCGAATCGTCCCGTGGGTCTTTTTTTTTGCTGAAGTGACCTTTATGATTTTAAAACCAGGTAAGAGTCCATTGAGCGGTATGGCTTAATGCAGTGAATGGCTCGTTTAGCAAATTAGAGGCCTCATTTACTGAAAAGTCAGTGAGGCTTGGGGAGTACAAATTTATAGAAGGGAAGGAGGTTGGTGCTCAGTACTAACGGGTGTCAGCCAATTTGTACTTAATTTTTATTTCGTGACTTGCTTAGATTCCCTATACTTTGCACTCCTGTGAGGTTTTGCATTGTCCGTTGTTTTAACTTTCTGACCCACCCCTACTGGACATGTGAAAAAGAGCCTCAAAGCCCACCAGATTTTTCCGGTCTAAATAAATATTCAGATTCGGACTAATGAGTGGCAGCGAAAGTAGGAGGGTACATTCCCGAGGAGCCGACGTTCACCGTGGAGATGGAGCGTTGGAATCTGTTCTTGTAGGAGCTACATGGTTATTGCAACGCTTGAGTGTAAGGCTCGTCGACAACTTGGGGAGGGAGGCCTAAATCCAGCAGCGCATTAGCGGTGGCATTTCTCATGGTGCAGTTTTGTGGCGACATTGTTTTGCCTGTTAATGTAAATGGATGACTTTGAATGCATGGTTTGTTTGATGCACAAAACTGCTCACGTGTCAATTCAAAATATGTTCATTCACCAACCTTTTCCAAATGGCCTCGTTTTCTCAGGGGCCCCACAGTGTAAAGTGCAATCTCCAGCGATGAGACGAAAGTCAATCTCGCCACTGCCACGAACCTACATCATCCACCAACCCTTGCCTCCAAAGCAATGGAACACCAACTTTCTGTTTAACATTGTTGCCGTAGTGTAAAAACTATTTTTTGTTTATTGTTAATTAGCTATTTGTAAATAATATTTGACAAACTGTACCAGATTCTAACCATTTTATGTAAACATAAATTCCAGCCATCCTGAGTCCACCAATGAGTTAAGGCCTTCCCAGACTATGGGGGGGGGGGGGGTTGACTTATCTTTATCATGCTAGTCAGTGCAGGTTGGTTGAAGATGTAGATTGCAGGGACGGTTCTCATATTATTCACCACTGATGTTGGTTAGCCATGAATAGGAGTCGAACTCGGTTCACTGGGTCGTAGTGGAGTGAGAAAATGTCTGTTCCACCGCCTCCACCCTCCTCGCCCTTTTTACCACCTGTAAAATTACCTTCAGATCTCACAACCAGTCGGTTCTGGCTTGCAGCGTGGCTGATAAGACACTTCAAAGTTTGAATATCAAACTAAGGGCAATTCCCTTCACCCCCCTCTCTGGCACCGCCTCCTGTGATGTCCCCATTACACCCATTAAAACCCGAGGCTCTTGTTTGCAGAGCCGAGGCTATGGTTGGTTGCTGATTAAACCAAAAGCTAGTTCAGTGTTTTAATTAATCCAGAGCTAATTCAAACAGACCCTATAATTTGGTGTCCTGTGTGTGCACAGTATACACCCTTTGAAAGGCTTAGCACTTTAGGATAAGTTATATTCTAAAAGAAACATTACCATTACGTAATGTTTGTATTTTGTGATGGCCAATGTGATTTGAGCCAGATTCAAATCTTTCCAAAATGGCCGAAAACGAAATCACCTGGAGAGAGACGCACTGGCTGGTCGATCTTCTGCAGGGTTGGTGATGAGGACATTGCCACGTGTTTCTTTTTGTCAAAACTGTTATGGTGCTTGCAATGGTAAAGGCGTAGCTTTCCCACCAGTTTCAATGAGTCGGGTACTTTATTCATTGCCAGGTGAGAGAAATTTTGACGCGGTGGTGCGGTGGTTATTCGCAGCGCTGCATTACAAACCCGGTGACCGGCCTGGTGAAGTATGGTCAAACACTCTCCATCACTCGAACGGTGTGAGGGGAGGTCTTTGTCCAGCAGTGGATTGTTAGAGAGCTGTAAAAAGAAAACCAAGAGAGCCCTTTAATAAAAGTGTTTCTTTTTTGTACAAGAGAAACATTTCAATATATTAAATACTTATTTTGTTTCCAGGAAAAGCATCACTCAATCTTTAGACCCACATGTATACCCAGATGTCGGTAATTGTGCCACCACCAGTGAGGCTAGCTTTGTGTTGTATTGAGAGACGTAGCTGCATTGTAATGTGTTATAATACGACTGTATATTGCAACAAGGTTTGTTAAACTAGGCTTGTTTTTGTGCATTGCCGGTAGTCACGTGAAATAAACGGATAGATAAATGTCTCGAGAAACATGTGTAAAATGTTCATCTTAATTGAGACTCGACAGGAGCTGCCACAGTGGTGTCATGGTCAGCACACTGGACTTCTCCTGGTGTGGCAGTAGAAACGACGGTGACATTTCTTGAATCCTTCCCAGTGCCTCTGTCCACCCAGCAGTATAAGCGGGTCCACCACAGTTAGCCGGTTGGTAGGTTGCGTGTGGTGCGGAAAAGTGTGGGAGTACATCTTTCAAGATGTCTGGACAGCGTGGAAGAATAGGCCAAATACTTCCTGGAGGGACCTCTCTAGAGCTTCCTCTAGTGAAGGCCCTTCTGCCGAAAGCGGCGTTAGTAAGATATTGCAGGGCTACACCTTTACCTTATAATATTTACCCACAAAATGGTTAACGACAGGCAAACAAGTTCACAACCCCATTACTTACCTCTCCTGGCCACTTCGTTGTGCACAAGTTCGGGTTATGGGAGTTTCCCAAATCTCTACGTGATCCACCAACCCTCCCTTCTGCAGCGCTGTATCATGGGCGTTTGCCACCACCGCGACACCCGCGTGACTCGGCATTCACCTCCCTTTCCCCCACCACCCCCCACGCCCCCATTCATTTTTGCCAGGCAAGGACCTGTCCACGCGCAGCGCTGACGACCTGGCATGCGTCTTCGGAAAGCGAGCGAAGAAATCCCACGGGGAGACAGAGCGGGACGCCCCGGCCTCCGTGCAGGAGGTGAGGCTAACCCCACGTTAACCCTTCTCCTCCTCCTTCCGCTGTTGCTGGTGGAGGAGGAGGTGGCAGGAGGAGCAACTGGCAGTGATTTTCATTCCGTTTCCACTCTGAAGCGGGTTGCCTGTGCTATTTAGCGCGGCGGACGTCGACTGAATGAATGTTTGAGTGGATAAATGATTAAATGAGTCCTGCGGTTGCAGCGCTTGAGCTGGCGCGGCCAATCTATGTCTCTGTCGGTCTTACTCTGTATGTTCCTCGTCACGGTACATGGGCGGGTGGGCAGTCGCGTACGTGAATTTGTTGTGCGCTCTGCGTGAGCCGTGGATTTTGAGCTGTGGCTTGAGAGGGGAACTCTCGGTCGCCACTACCTCCCGCCAGTGTTAGAACAGAACGGTGCACGCTGGTCAAGCCCCGGGGAGCCCTGACAGGCATGCGCGTGTACGTGCGCGTCTCCTTTAGCGAAACATGACCGATGGAGTGATGTGATTGTCGCGGTTTAATTGTACGAGCGCGGCGGTGGCCCCAGGAGACTGGGAGAGGGTTAAACCGCGATGGGTGACGGCACATGTCGTTTGCAAGGAAAATCCGATTAATTTGCATAATTGTGCCGAGCATTCCTACACACGGCCCTCGTTAACGTCGGCGGATTGGGGCCACGTTCCCGGGGATTAAAACGCGCGGCGGTCACGTTGCTCGTATTCGTAACTAATGACATCGCCTGGCGACCTTGTGGTTCGTTGGCCCGTGCGTGTGTGTGTGTGTGAGGTCAGAAAGGTCCGTGTCAGGTTGCTACGGAGGTGGCTGAACAGCTCAGGAGTGTCGGAGACACTGAGCCAGTAATCATCACTTGAGGTCCTTGGTTCAAGCCTTAGGTCTGCGTGTCCCTCTTGCTCTCTCATCGTCATCACCAACATCAGGCATTTTCTATCCATTGTTGGACGGAGTCCTCCCCAAGCTGTTGCGCCAGCTCTCGCGGTCTCGCCATGCAGCAATCCCTTCACTTCCTGCACACGAGCTAATTCCGTCGCCCCTTCTCTGCGGCGGTGACCATCCTCTCAGGGGTGTTTCCTACTTTGGCTTGAACATTGGTCGTGAGTCCTTCAGAACCACATGTCCTGCTAGTGCTTTCAGGGGCATCATAATGGCCATGTCGGAGGCACTGAACTGGCAACGCTGTGAGGCCTGGGTTTGAATCCAACTTCCCACCTCGTGTGATAAAACCGGGTTCTCAAGTGTAGCGAGTATATGGTCTCTGACTGGGAAAAAGAAAGTCATTCTCAAAAAAAAATTCATGGATTAATTCCTGCCTTACCTTGATGGATTATTCTATATTTGTTTGTATGGCATGGTGGAAAACAATGAACTACGAGTTAAAATATAATGTAGTAGTTCTTTTTAGTGTTTGGGTAGAAATGGCCTTAGTAAAGGACAGATCTTCATCACTCACTCAACAACTTATCGGGGTACCATATAAAAGGCTTGCCTTTCTGAAACCAACTCCTAACCTTGCGAGCATCCTTGTCTAAACTCGTAAGCGTACCCAAACTGGCGCATCGTGGTGGAAATGTCCTGGTGCAAGAATTTATTTCGGCACCCTCTGTCTTCATAGTCGGCATCTAGGCCCCTCTCCCTGCTATGGGCCCTTGTGTAGTTGCACCTCCTGCTTACTCAGTAGTTACGCCACTGCTTCAACTGAAACTCATAATCGCTAACCGTAAACCCTAACCATTAACCAGGTACACTCCCTCCTAACCCTCAACCCCAATCCCGGGGTTGATGGTTTCTTTGTACGTTGGAACCATCAATCAATCGATCTTTATTTTACGTTGCAATATCACCCTCGATAAAGTGCGCATCGGTGCACGTTGCCGCAGACCGGGAGCGGTGCAGGGGCAACGTTGTGCGAGAGCGGTGTCGTCCCGCCTTTGGGGTCGGGTTTATTTTTTTTTACCGTCACTCGTCCAAACCTCCCTGCCGCCTGCCCACCCCCAGCCGCTGCCAAGGCCCCCACCCCCCAAGCTCTCCTCGGTGACTTCCTATGGCAGAATGACAGGGCATCGTGACTGGGCCTGGCCCACCCAACTCGTGCTGAGCCACGACCCGGGGGCTTTGCTTCTGCGTGCCTTAAGCAGCGTGCTTGTTTGCATTTTCGGGCAGACTGTGCACGTTTCATTCCCGTTTGCCAAGTTGGAGCGAGCGATGGGCGAAGTTAAAATCTGATTTGCGGCCGACATGGCACGTAGTTATACATTGTGCATACATTATTCATAATCGTCATTCTACATCATCCTACAAGCTCATCATTGATCTATATCCATTGTCATTTTCTATGCTCGTCCATTCATTATCATCATCCATAATCATCAATGATCTGTCATCGGTTATCAATCGCTCATGAATTATCATTCATGCGTCGATCCTTCATTGATACAAGCATTGAATCACGCGCATGAGAATCAATTATTGATGATGTAAGAAAACTACATACAAATGTAATGATAATGCTTCATTTTGGCTCGTGGAGCATAAAAAAAACTAAACAGGGAAAGCGGGACAGAGCAAACAAGAATCTGTACAAAACAAGATGGCAAAAATACAAAAACAAAACTTGATTTTGGAGTCGAATCATGTTCTGCCATCGTCCTGGTCAGAGACAACTTGATCATCATCGTTGTCACCGTCCGTCACTCGGCAACAGCAGATATAATGTTCAACAATCTTCTTCACAACTTGGCTCTTTTCCATCTTCCCCTTCGTGGGAAGTTGACCAGTTTTAATATGCAAAGATATTCCACACCTCCTCACCCGTCATAGGAATGTGGAATTTCCTCCTCTGACTTAGGGCCACGCACAGAGATGCCCCCTACCCATCACCACTCATTGCCTTGGTTTTCTAAATTCCTTTCGTTGACTAATATAATTTTTTTTATATTTACATGTCAATATGTAACTAGGCGTGTGTGTATTGTAAATTTTTTGTGCTCTTTTTAAATTAGGATTATCCATTCCCAACACGGATAACAAAGTTATTATGTATACAGAACCTACAGCTGAATGTTTAGGCTGTGGTTTGTAGGCATTTGTTGATGTTGCCAAAAAAGCCAGTGTGGATGTGTTTAATTACCACTGTGTAATATTTGTTATTTCATCAAGTTTCATACCTTGCTGAGATTTTTTGGGGTTTTTGTAAGGTTGGGCATGTCACCGTTTAATGAGGGTGTGGGTTTATAATCCCTATCACGTATTGGCATCTTGGATTAAGTAGATAATTGTTTATAGCCCTGCCATGTGCTCTCTAATCAAAAGTGCAGTGTTTAAAATGTACCCGCTTGTAACCAACGGCAACAGTGTGAGTGTAGAGTGTGTTTCATGTGGGGATGCATTACAGTCGTAAAATACTCAAAGTAATTATGCAGGGGGGAAGTGGCACAGGGGTTAGTCCTGCCCGGTGGCCTGAGTTCGATTCCCGTCCTTGGTGACTATCTTCTCATTCTTCCTGTCGCTGATGTTGACATAGAGAAACGATTATACATTTTTTTGCATTGAGATGGCGAAGCCAGATAATTACATCAGCAGTAGTGGAGTCTCGCCTAGTATGTAGGAGGTTGTGGGTTCGATCCCGATGCCTGTAGATTTGGAGTTTGCATGTCTCTTTCCCCATAATAATAATAATAGTACAATTTGTAACGCGCGCAAATTTGCAGACGTAGTGGCCGCAACTCAGAGGCGCGGAGCCAAGCTCAGAGTCGCTCAAAAGCATGATTATAGAGGTGAGTTTTTAAGTGTCTCTTGAAGGAGGCGATTGAGGTGATGCTGCGAATGTGCAGAGGGATATCGTTCCAGACTGTTGGGGCTGCCACCGAGAAGCTGCACGTAGACATGACCATCCTGGATCTTGGTATTGAGAGGAGGTCGTGAGTCGCGCTGCGCAGGCATCTGCCATGTGCTGAGCTGCAAGTTGTCAGTAATGAAGAAAGATACGGCGGGCAGGCGGATATGAAGGCATTGTGGCAGAGGCAGGCGGTCTTGTATGTGACCCTACTGGCAATGGGGAGCCAGTTGAGAGCGCGGAGACGAGCTAGTGAGTCGAGGCGGGGATGAGTGTGGGCAATGACGACGCGTGCTAGGTTATTTTGTAGTCTTTGAAGCTTCCTTAGGTTGCCAGCGGAGGTCCGGACAAGGACGGAGTTACAATAGTCAAGGCGAGACCCAACTATGCAACATGCCAAAGTGTTGGCAATTTCAGTAGAGATGAGAGGACGTATGTGTCTAAGAGCCTTCAGGTGAAAGTTACATGAGCTGATGATATGGTTGGTTTGACGGTCGAAGGATAAAGTTGAATCTAGGATGACACCGAGGTAGCTGAAGTGGTTGGTGAACTTGATGCTATGACCGAAGATGTGTATGTGTGTGGGGAGTGCTGCTGAATTGAGACGTTGCTTGGTACCTAACATGATGGCCACTGACTTTTTCGGATTAAGGGCTAGGTTGTGTGCAGTGAACCATTGTTGCACGGCGGTGGTACATTCCGAGAGCCTCTCGAATCCAGATGCATTGCTAGAATCGATGGCGGTGAATAGAATCGTGTCATCCGCGTATGAGTGATGCTTAACACTGAAGCTTGCAATGAGTCGGCCGATCGGGGAAGTGTAGGCTGTGAAGAGCAGGGGACCTAGAACAGAGCCCTGGGGAACCCCGCATAATGCTCTTGTTTCAGGCGATGTGGACATGCCCACCCTGACTGAGGATTGCCGGTCAGAAAGGTACGAAGCTATCCACTTGAGTGCTGAGCCGCATATACCGAAGTCGGATTTCAGGAGGGAAGTAAGGAGCGAATGGTTGATGGTGTCGAAGGCTGACGAAATGTCCAGACTTACAAGTGCAACAGTTGAGCCGGAATCAACGATCGTTAAAATGTCATCGAGCACCCTAGTGAATGCTGTTTCTGTGGAATAGTTTTGACGGTAAGCTGACTGGAAGTTGCAGTAGTTTGCGGAGGA